CCTCAGAACACGATCCTGATAAATCTCAAATACATAAACACCTTTACCTCCATCTCCATTCCACCGATGGCACACCAGCAAGATTCTACGGGCTGCCTAAAATTCACAAACCTGCGGTACCACTTCGCCCCATTACAAGTTGCATTAATTTCCCAACATACAACCTCTCGAAACACTTGGTCAAAATATTATCCCCACTCGTCAGAGGGAAATATACAGTTAGGAACAGTTTTGCCTTTTCTCAACAAATTAGACATCGACAAATTGCAGACGATGAAGTCATGGTATCATTCGATGTTGTATCCTTGTTCACATCTATTCCCACCAAACTAGCCCTACAGGTGATCAAACAGAGGTTACAACAAGACATATCGTTGACACAAAGAACAGACATATCCATTACTAACATCACAAAATTATTAGAGTTCGTCCTTCAGAACAGTTTCTTCACATATAAGAATGAATATTATCAACAGATCTCAGGTTGTGCTATGGGGTCACCCATTAGCGCTACAATTGCTGACATAGTTATGGAACATGTGGAAGAAACTGCAATTTCTACAGCACCACATCCCCCGCGATGGTGGTTCAGATATGTCGACGATAGCCATTCCTGTCTGAAGAAAACCCAGGTGAACGAATTTCATAACCACCTCAATTCCATTAACTCATATTTACAATTCACCATCGAACTGGAAGAAAACCGACGCCTCCCATTCCTGGATACCGTGACTATCCGCTCTAACGGCAAAGTAGAAGTCGATATATACAGAAAACCTACTCACACAGACAAATACCTACACTACGACTCACACCATCCCATACAACACAAGCTGTCGGTCCTAAATACTCTCCTCGACAGAGCTGAGAAAATTCCCTCGTCCAACAGAGGAAAACGCAGAGAAAGAAGACATGTATTTAAAGTCTTGAGAGACAACGGTTACCCACTTAAGTTTATAAAGTCTTACGACATCAAGAGGAAACGCAGTCATACTGATAACACCAACGGCAATTTGCATACCACTGATGTCAACAACAACAGGACAAACCCCTCTGATTGTGTCCCTTTTAGCTTTGTAGTCTTACCGCTTTGTAGCCTTACAGAAAAGATCTCCCGAGTATTAAAGAGAAAAAATGTCAAAGTGTGCTACAAACCTACCAGTACCCTTTCCCACCAATTCCCCAAACCCAAAGACAAGTTACCACCGCTGCGATTGTGACTTTGCATATTACGGCCAAACAGACAGAACATTAAAAACTAGAATAAAAGAACACGAACGAGCTGTTTCGCAATTTGATCAATATTCAAAAATCGCTAAGCATGCTGAACAATACGATCACCGAATTGACTTCAGTAATGCCACCATTGTCAACAAAACAAAAAACTACCGCGAACGTCTGTTCTTAGAGGCTTGGTATTTCCTCAAGGATCATAACGCAGGAAAAGACCATAACGAAATACCGGATGTGTATAAAACACTTATCTGCTAATTAACTCTGAACCTATATATATTGTTTAGTTTTGAACCTAATTAAATTTTTAACTGACGAAGACCTAAGTTACTGCATGGTCGAAACGTCTTAATATCTTTTTAATAAATAAACGTAGTTTTTAACGTTTTTATCAAACCAGCGTCAACCTTTCTACATCTTAATAATATGTCTAATCCTGGTTACAATTTTAACATTTTTAATATATATATATATATATATATATATATATATATATATATATATATATATATATATATATTAAAATACTATATATATATATATATATATATATATATATATATATAAGTAGTAATATAGGTACCGTTCGACCCCCATTTTTGAGGGTGCGTAAGGGTGCGCTAATTAATATTCATAAAAATGAGATCTGCCATATGAGGTCTATATACGAGAGAATATGTTGCTGTCAGAGTTATATAAACACATGGAAGTTAGAGGTCATGATATACAATTGTCAAGTGATTTCTATATTTTAGTGCTAGGTTTTTAAAGTACTAAAACTCGGATAAGGTTAATAAATTTAAGTTATATTAAAGCACACCGGTTGCTATGCGTTGTTAGGGTGAAACTAATTAAAGGATTAACTTTTATCAGTGATTTGCATTTTTCTACTGTGTGGATAAATACGGGTAGATTAGGATATTCATTGTGCGGGCGTCGCGGGTTATCCGTGCGGGAACAGAGAAAGCGATTTAGACAAGACAGGAGCGCTTTGCAGCCAAAAGTTGAAAGACTTTGTGTGGAATCCTGTAATGGTTGTCAAGTCGGTCATCCTAGTCAAAGACAACATGACTGCCGCATGATGAACGAAAACGAACGAGGGCATATAAGGAATCTATTCGTCACAAAAATCATATTTTAAACATATTTTAGACATAACTAAACAGTTCCTAATCCGAGTTGTCAACGTCGTTGTTAAGGTCAATATTTACATGTTGTTCAACGTTATTTTAGCAAATATTCTACATACATATATACTGTTAAGATGATCATAAGTAAGCTTATCAAGAATATAAGTTAGAATTGGAACAGTTGTAATATATTTTGCAATAAAAACATGTAATCGTCATATACGTTGTTATGTGTTACTAAGTCATTAGCGACGCTTGCGTGCATGCATATATTAACGTACAACATATTTGTACACTAATCAGGCGGGCGGATCGCGCGGGCGGAAAGAGCGGGCTTTGCCGGCAAAAATTACACAATATTTCAGTTTTTAAGTACATTTATTTCTTCAAAACGTTTTACAAAATTATGCTTCTAATATATATCGTCACTTGTTTCAAGGGTTTCGCTATCAGATTCTTCATCATAGCTGCTTTCATCATCGTGGCTGCTTTCATTTTCCGTAATCCATTTGGTATGTCTTGGGACTGTTATATGAGAACACAGTTTTAACCTCCTCGTAGTTGATAAATTCCTTATCTTTGTCTTCTTATCTTCCTTATCCCTATCTTCTTAACTTTATCTTATTATCCTTATCTTCATCTTCCTTATCTTTATCTTCTTATGCTCATTATTCTTATCTTTATCTTCCTTATCTTTATCTTCTTATCTTTCTTATCCTTAATAAGCTTCCCGCTATGTTGATATGTTCAACACAACTTAGGCTGGGAGCCGAGCTCCATAGGCTCGCAGCAAAGCTCCTTAGGCTTGGGGCCGAGCTCTTTAGGCTCGGAGACAGCTCCTTAGGCTCGGAGCCGAGCTCCTTAGGCTCGGAGCCAGCTCCTTAAGCTCGGAACCAAGTTCATTAGGCTCAGGTGAAGCTTCTGTAAAGCTTCTGTGAAG